AAAGTGTGCACGTCAGCAACCAAAAGGAGTCTATCTTTGCTAGGTGATCGCTCCGCAAATTTTGGAATACCAAACCCCAATATTTGTTTAGTTTTACGTTGTCTTAATATTATGCTGTTATATGCAACAGACATATATAATTTTGAAGACCTGCTATGTTTAGGGCTCTTATTAATTAACTATTACCACCAATAAGGACAAAGTTGCAGAGAGAGAGAGAAGGTAACATGGAGACCATTATGTTTATTGCTACGTTCTGAGGTGTTCATGCTTTTGTTTTCTTATCCCCTAGCGTTTTTCATGTCTTAACGTGCGCTGAACTATATAGGGAGCCCATCTACATTATAATCAATCAAAACAACCCAGTTATATTTATATATATATATATACACATACACTAAGGGAGAGAAAGAGGGTTGAATCTGCATATGGTAATCTTGCATTAGTCCTTGGGATCTTGAATCTGCATTTGGTTAAATTAATTAGTCCTGTCACGTTTCTTAAAGGGTCAAGTATGATAATTTGCAGCAATTAAAGGAACTGATTTTTGAGATGTTTTATCATTATTTAGCATTGAATGAGTACAAGATTTTATCTAATGACAAAAGAATTTGTAGAGGATATATTGCCATCCCAATTATACTAAATCATGACGTGAGATTATCATAGTTTATATATCTCCCTTTTTTCAGTTGAATATAAAGACAATTTGAGCTTGGCCCTGTCTCGGCCTTAACAAGCAGTTGAATCCTCTGCATGACGAAGTCACCTCTACATCTTAGAATGTCGGTATCGAAGACAGAAATATGTGTTAATCAACAGTTCCCAACAGAATCTATATACGAATGCTTATATAGAATACTCAGACAAAATGATAGCATTGAAACACAAATTGAAGCTGACATTCGTAGTACTCATAAATTCTGAATCAATAAATTTGAAATTATTTTAATCATAAAAATATGAATTTGCACTTCAGTTGAATTTATTTCTTCCAACCAGTGTAAACTAATAAAATATAAAGAATATTACAATATTTGCTGTTGCAATTATTGCAAATAATTTATGTTTGAAGTGATACATTGACTTGTATAGAAGAATCTGTTAAGATGATATCTTTTGAGTTTTCTGCTTTTGGATGATCAAAACAATCCAATTTTATCCTGACATGAAGATGTTTGACGAAGATGAGATCCCTCAAATCTCTGTTGGTGCTTAACAATAACTTAATGCATGACTCTCGACTCATTCGTCCCTTGCTATCTGCCTTCAAAATGTCTGCTATCCTCGCTGCATATTTATCCTTGTTTTCTTCTTGTAAATCTGGATGTTTTCCGAGTTTTAAATACAAAGCTGCATAAATGATAACCTGAAACCGAAGATGTTAGTTCTGGTTCTGCACCAATATAGCCAATTAATTTTCTATTACATTTAACACAATGGCAAGCTTCTCATTGCATATGCCACCACAAGCACTTTAATTGCTGCAAGCACACAGACAGAATTTATTAATATGCTCTATCCTTGTAAAAGACATATTAGTTATAATTTAATCTAGTTACTACAATGTCTAAAAGCAAAAAATCTCTGAATAAGAGTTGGAAACTTCACAAATGAATTCCTGCAAACCATTACTGATACTAGAATTTTGTGCAAAAAGAAGTTAGTGCAGAGAGAAACGGGCATACCTCGCTTGATCCAGGACTTGTATTTACAGCACAATTAATATGAACTTGCTCATCTCCAGATTTCATGTCTAAAGGTACATCAGCATCTTCAATAGTCAATTCTGATTCAGGTGTTGAAAAAGCAAGATTATCCAAATCATCATACCATTGTTGGGCAGCCCCAACCTGCAGGAACCCACAAGCTGAACTTGTAAGCTACCAAAAGCATAGAAAAGTAGTAACTACCAGATAAATGAAAAGGGGAGAAAAGAAACGGTCAGAGAAACTACAGGGGGTAGGCACCTTCTCTAAAGATCCAATTGCGCGCTCTGCACCTGAGATTTCAGCAGCAGCTCCTCTTGCCTGGCACCATATACAGCCTTCTTGTATTGGTTCTACAAGCTCAGTATATACAGGTAAGTCTATGTTTAGCTGTATATCTGTCCTACCTGCCAGAAACACATGCATTATTCATATTGAACAGTTTGTAGACCGTCACATACCATCTATAAAGCACTAAAAGTGGGATGAGTAACATGGTAATGTGCCCTAAATGATCCACACCTTAGGATTGGGTGCTGATGAGTACATTAAATTATCTATATGGCTGAGAGCACTTATAATCCAGGCACAATTATGCAATTATCAGGGGCAAGCTTACCACTGAGCTACTCGCCTGTCATGCGGGCCCTCTCTCTAAACACATGTAACTGCATGTTAGTTCATTAACCCATTTGGTTCAATTCCTATTCCTTCATTACTCAGTTTCCAAAAACATGTAGAAAATTTATATATTATTATAGTAATTAAATGGTAAAAAATATTAATTGAAGTTAATTAGTTGAATTATATAACTTTCTTGCACCATGCAAAACTAGGATTTGAGGGAGACACTATAAAAAGAGGATCAGATGCACTGTTACGTAGAAAAGGAACAAAATAATCTTAACGTTTCCTATTTCCCATTTTGATAGTCGGTCTTTCCATTCTGGAAAAATCTGAAAATATTTGCAATTCTTTTTAAATGATTTACCCTTTTTTTTCGGTTGAAGCCGTTATATGAACGAAAATTTTGAAATCGATTCATTATTTTATGTCATGTGAGGGCATCAATTAATCTTCTCGTAAATGTGGAACTTTTATCAGAAGTAATAATAATGGCGGAAGGTTTCATAAATAAAAGACATAATACTAGTGGTAGTGTAATCACAGAATTTGAGTAATGTCGAAACATAACTATCTGTAGACCTTAAGAATACCTGGAAACAAACGGAAACATTGAACATGATCAGGCTGTGTTCCTTTCAATCCATGAGCCCTGTCAGATTATCCAGAGAAATGCAAAAGGAAAAATCAGTAGATTCAGAACTGAGCAAATCTGCATATAGGGCAGAAAGTCAATAACAGTGGAACTATGCAAGACTCAGAAAAGAAAGAATTGTTACATCATTCATCCTTGTAACAAAGAACCAATAGGAGGTAACAGGGGGAAGGACAGAAGTTCATTTTTAAATCTGGAACATAAGTTGAATGCAGAGATTTAACTAGAAAGAAGTAAAGATACTCACTCAGAACAAACTCTTTCTAAAGGAAGAGGCAACCAGTACGGCAATCCAAGGACCCCAAAATTTGAAAACTGCATGTTTGAACAGATTCCAGACTCACTATTTAGTTTCAACAGCCTCTGTCCAACTTCAAGAACACAAGAGGAGAAAATTAGTAGTAAGCAGGCAAAGAATCAATTGTTTTTCACTTGGGAAAACAAAGAGGCAGAATGCAACAATTATTATGACTTAAGTGCCGTTACCAATGTCACACATGATTATTTGATTTTGAAAAGTTGTAAAGGAAGACACCAGCCCAGTATATGGAGTCTCCCTCGGGGAGCAAGCAGCTTCATTTAGTTGTTGCAACCAATCACATGGTATCTGTTTCAAGAAGGATACTTTCTCCATGATCAACTGCCCACAGATGTCCCAAATCTTTGGAAATCCTTAAAAGTTTTGATTAGCTAATATTAGACATGTTCAGTTTGCATGAAATATATATAAAAAATAATAACCAAGGCATGCAGAACATCGTTATATAACCTTCAACAGCTTCTTTTATTTCTCCTGAATTCAAATCCATGATCCACAAATACTCAAAGCTGCAAAGACCAAAAATGTGAAAATCATAAAGATAACATATGAGGAGATGAGGAATCTTGATAAGCAGTGGATGTGCAGGCAAGTGGTCGAAAACCATTTCAGGCTTACATTCATTATATTTTGAAGAGAGAGTTTCAGGCCTACATTGTCAATTCAAGTCAATACTCAGCCTTCCTACTGAAAGCATCAATATATCTAATCATTTCAAAGATTAGGCAAGTAGTTTCCAACCAAACGATAACTTAGGGAAATAAAAGAGCAAGCATTTGTTTTTGTGGGGAGAGAGAGAGAGTCAAAAGAGAATGGACAAAACGGCACAAGGAAATAACAAGTAACAAATTAAGCATTTCGAGTATAAGAATTTTAACAATCTTTTGGCATTTATGATGTAATATACCATGCTTATGGCGTCCACAATTCTAAATGGTATGACTCTATCTGTTCACTTGAAAGGAGTAAAAGAAAAGGAAATATTTCTGTTATTCTGAGCATCAGTAAATGTCCTCGCAGGATTTGAATGGCCCAGGCACATCTTAGGATTGAGTTTATGAACTGGGTAAGCCCTATGACCCTATAATCCAAGGATAAGATTCCCCAGAGGCTAGAGCTGGCTTCTATAAAAATAAAACAAGATTGCACAGAGCTGGCGATAATAATTAATTTAGCAGCCTTGCGGAGTTGCACCCAGTGCAAATAGATTATGCATTAAACTAAGACAAGGATTGGAGTAAATTCTACCAGATGAATTCTACCAGATCATGGTATCCCTCCTTTGGACATGACCAAACAAAATTATCAGACAGCATCATTAAGACTACGAATTTCTTTTAATGTTCACCAATTAAATGCTGAATTCCTTTAAGAGCCACTTTTCATGTTGCTCTCCCAATTAAATCCGCAAGCAATTTGGATCATAACCTAAAGTTTCCTAGAGAAGGATAAAGACAAAAAAGAAATAAATATAGGTATCTAAAAATTAAAAGGAGTACAACTTCTGATTAATATTAGAAAAGAGATGTGCATCATTTACCTCTTGTTGATAATTAGAAAACTATTATTCTCCAACTTCAGCATATGCCAAGGAAAAATTAGTGATTGCAGGTCAAATTCTTTAGGTTTTGTGTCACCATCCCTTCTAACACCCAGCTTATCCATGATCCAGGACCATAAGCCATTATTTTTCTTGTCACTGCTACAGGATGGATAGAGCGTCTCCAAAACTCGCCTCTCCATATCTGCTCTTCTAATTGCATGGTTCTTAGCAGAAAAAAAGAAACAGAAAATTTAAAAAATTAAATGAAAACCTCAACATAAAACAAAAACTAAAGTACATTAATATTCAACAGCAAGAAAAAAGAAATAGCTAAATAAAGTAGAACATGGAACACTCCCAGAAAAACAATATATTACGTGAACAGGACATAACCCAAGAAGAGAAAAGCAGAAAGGAATGAACGACCTTAGTGCTCTTGAATATATTTAATGTTTTGTATTAAAAAAAATTAAGAACCTCCATACTCATACCTCAGAATCTACAATATAAAGGCAGTCGTCGGTATCATGATAAAAAGAAGCAGCAGGACGCAGAAGCTTGGCAGATTCAAATTCTCCATCCTCAAAACCTGGGCAAGAGCCAATCTGCCAGAAAAGGACTTGCGGCTTTATTTTCAGCTCGATCTCAAAATTTTTATAAGATAATATAAAGGCCAAGCATGAAAATGATACAAGATATAGAAACGCATTGGAGACCGAAATATGATTTATATAAGATTTTTTTTTTATAAAAAAAGGTTGCATAAACTTTGGGTGTACGATAACCCCCCAAAAGAATAAAGTAGAAAGGGTTACCATGTCATCAGAAGGATCAGTATATCATAATGAAGAGTTCTGAACTAACAGAAGAGGGATTTTGTATAAATTCAAAGTTGAATTAGCAATTAAGTCATCAACACGTAAGGGTGCAGAAAAGAATGTAACAAGAGACTGCAGCACCAAATTTGCAACAGAAGAAAAATTGCGGCTGGAAAAGAGAGTTGAGCTGCCTAATCAGTGACAGCTTGAAAGATTTAATTAGAAGGTTCTTCCTCTAACCTCAACTCCAAAAGGACAACTGGAAAATAGAACTTGACAATCACTAAACAACAGCTATATGAGCACAATCAGTGGAAACAAGGAACAAGGAAATGAAGCCCAGATAGCACCATCAAATTGTCTCTGGCCATAAAGTCTAAACTTAGAAGTCCTTTTAGCTCCCTAAAAGGAAAACAATGGAACTTCATACATACACAGTCCAAAATCTTCCCATTGTTGTCAAATACAATTATCCGATGATGGTTGCTGTCAGAAAGGAACAGACGATTCCCTTTTTCATCAGCAGAGACACAGCCTGCAGGGAAAGAATGACAAATTTGAGGAAAAATCAATCAGTGGAGCTAATAGAGGGAAATGATGTGAATTTATCATGCATGCATTCCACTGGTATACACAAAAACATCTTGCACGGCTAATAAGAAAAAAGCATCAAATGGACCATTATATTTCAGATAATCCAGGATTTTTAATTACCCTAATCTCATAAGTCCTAGTTCAGTCAATTCATAAAGGTGAAGCTTTCTCAATATAGAACAAGTAAGCTTTGATTCTTCTGAAAATATCTGGAGCAACAGCACAAGGGCCCTAGAGGCTTTAGATTCAAAGTACTATCTCCAAAACAAACTGATAATACATTCTCTCTACTTAAGATTATGAAATTATATACAAGGAGAGAATAAACAAAAAGATAACAACACTTCAATAAACTCTAGGCTGTGGCTACATATAGGTCATGCAGTGTTGAGACCATAGGTTGATCTGGTGTGGACATAAATTATATACAAGCAAATAAGACAATGAAATGTTTTACGGCACATGGCTAGGTGTTGTTCAGCAAGAGAACATATAGAAGCAAAAAAGTGCTTCTTTTTTTGCTAAAGGTTCAATACAAAAAATCTTCAGAAGCTTTAACAAGTGACTGCTTAATTGAGAGTTTCCCTGATATAGATCAACAATTATATTGCACTTTGCATCAACCAAACTGGACTGGCAGGTAACATTTTGTAATATATTCAACTAATGTGGAACTCAAGTCATTCCTCTCCAACAAAAAGTGTGAAAGCATAAGATATTTGAAATTTTCGACAAAAGTTGATATTCATGCTACCCTCATTATATGCAATTATACAGCAATAAAATTACAAGTTGCATAAGAAAAAAAATACCCGGAAAGTAAAGAAATAGGTCCTGCATAAATAATCGGGGTTCCTTGATGGCCTCAACTTGTTTTGACCACCTATTGGTAAAAATACTGCGTGACTTAGAATTTTGACTGTCTTGTGCGGTTAACACCTCAATTGCTGCAAGAAGGCAGCAAAATGAGATAATAACACAGAAAATTATATTGTCTATACTTATTATATATATGCAAAAATGTAAGTAGCTTCCTAAAGTATACATCAATGAACAATTTATTAACAACCCCACTCTCCCCCACCCCCCCAAAAAAAACAGAATTAAAGAAAAAGATGAAGAAGAAATGATTAGTAACTGCAATAGGCATATCAAAAACTATCCACATGTTACGAAGAAGGACATCAGCTGCGATTCAGTTGATAAAAAGAGAGAATATGTTGGGTTAAAAACCATGATATATACATATTTTTGGGGCTTATGGTGGATAACTGAATTTAGTTTATAAGGTTCTTATATTGATCTTAAGTTTGACTTCATTTTTGTTCTCAAGTAACAAAAAGCTTACTTGCATGCTCTATCCCTATATACATGTTATATTCTTTCATAAGTTTGAGTCCAATAGTCACCTGATTTTGAACTGTGATGTGGCTTGGAGGTTTTAAAGTAGGCTTTTCAATAATTTTGGTGGGATATGAGTCTTCCCTCTCTGATTCTAGTAAGAACAAAAAGAGTAGAATCTTTCAGAGGAGCATTATTTTTGCTGGGTTGTGTAGTCGGAGAGATATGGTCGACTTTTTAATGGACATTGCCAACCACCTCCGTTGCTTTGGAATAGGACGATTTTCTTGGCATATCTTTGGGAAAAGATTCATGATCTTTTTAAGGGTGTCTTTTCAGCTAGTTTGCAAAGAATTGGACGACTATTTGTATTCACTTTCATGTTTCTTTTCTCTTTCTTCTTTTTGTCTTGGAGGATCTCTTACCCATTGTTGATGTACTTTCACCCATACTTTAACAATATTTCTTCTTTTTATCCAAGAAAACCATAAGAATTTTGATTTGAGAAACTTGAAAAACAAACATACCTTCGCTGAGGATCCCAACATCCAGGTCCTTCTCATGGTAAATAACAGGATTCTGAAAATCTTTGAACAAAATGCAGCATGCCCCATTTATCATCTAGAGACGTGAAGAATAGATTGTCTTCAATTAATCAGTTAAGAAAATCTCTGGCATCAGAAGATCATATGGGAGAACAAATTCATATATGATTAGAAGAGTCCATTATGACCTTACCTTTTCCCAAAAGAACATTTTAACACAAAGTTAAGAGAAAACCAACTACTGTTCACAAATACTTTAAAGTCCTTCTTGAGTACATATAGAAACTTTGGAAGCTTTTATAAAGGAAGGACCAATTAGGCTCCAAGTTGGCCTCATAACCAAGAAACCTTTGATTTCCTCCAAAAATTTAGTTACAATGGATTTTGGTTAAGCATATTAAACTGGCTGCCACTGTGTCCAACTTAACATATTTTTGTTAGCTGGTTCCACATATAACAAGAAATTTCATAAAATGAGACAAAAGTTATTGGCACTGGCATTTGGTGCCATGTACAGAGACAGCCTGATACAAACAATATAGAAGATATTTCCTCAATAATATAGGCCTTTCTTATATGGGTAAACTTTTACATTCATAGTTTTCTTTCTAATATATGGGGAAGTTATTATTCTTTTTATAATATGGAACCTGACAAGTTAGTGTTACAATAAACCTTAGAACTGAAGTGATACAGGTGAGAAGTTTTCTTTGCATGGCACCTGCATCACAAAGGAACATTGTTTGGGGTAGAAACTCTAGAAGAGAGAAATCGAGTTACCACCTATATAGGCCTTTTTCTGGCACATCAACCATAGGCCTCGGGGGTAGTTGTGGTGGCTGTTTTGGAAGTGGTCGTAGTGGGATGATATCTTGTGCAAGTGTGCTCATTTCAGAAAAGATGATCAAGCATGTGATCATCATTGGGAATTGATTAGTCAACCACCTAGAATAGCTAATTTTGTTACAAATATGACCAAGCTGCAGGGGTGGAGACGTTGATGCTTTCTCAGTAACAAGATTCATATATTGAAGATTAGATACATGTATCAAAGAAGAACACTCAATTTAAATGACTAATACTCTATCGGTTCATATGAATGTTTCATAACTATTTTGGAGCAATGTTGTGTGATATATGTGGAGTAGAAGTAAGTTTGGTTTTGTTCCACTCTCCATAGACGGGAAAGATAATCTGCCAAACAAAAGAGGGATCTAAAAATGAAGACCGACAAATAAGTTCAACAAATCTCTGTGAGATTGGTGATCTATGCAAAGTTATTCCCTGCCAGAACCAACTGTCAGAACCTCATATCGATCCTCATGCTCCAGCAGTAACTGAAGAATAGCCTTTCAGGAGGAAGAGAATCATGGGAATAAGAATAAGAATATACTAAGAACTAATATATATCTTGTAAGGAAGCACCAAAGTACGTTTATGAAAGAGAAGAAGTGCATTAAGAAGAGTGAGATCCATTTACTTAAATCTGAAACATATATCTAGGGTAAAAACCTCACCTCAGAGATTTTGTTTGACGATAAAATGGGAAAAGTAAGAAAGTCCTTCATTATCCATTGAAGTAATTTACTGTGATCAGCATCAAAGCAAGCCTGACTACCAGACTGAACACCAATAACATGGAGCTGAGGAAACCTACAACAGCATGAAATAACATCCTCCAAGCACATCAGTTGTTTAGCCATCAGTCTAATTTATTGAAATTTAAGAAGCAAAAAGAAATAACCACAGGTCTTTTACTTACCTCTGCTGAAGCAACTTTACTTTCTCAAACGTAAAACTAGGATCACATCCTGATATTTGAGCATTATCAAGGAACTGCCCCACAATAACTAAAAAAGTTCCTTCTCTCTTGAAGAAATCTTTGTTTCCTTCATCTTTATTCAACCAATGATGAGATGGTCCTGTAAATATCCATATCCAGAAGTGTGATGAAAATCTGATATACGTACGGGACACATATAACTTAAGCAAAAACTTCTCTCCACATGTATTCTAATGACGTCAGCGCATCATGACTGGTATTCATCACAGGTGACAATAGAAAGCAAACAAAAAAATTGACAGACTTTATATCAACAGAGTAGTTAGATTCAATACCTTGAAGCTCATCAAAAGTGGATTCAATGAGGGAAAGTACATCAACAATAGGAGAAGAATCTTGAGATACTAGTGATGCTGTTGAAAACCTGAAAAAGACTGCCAAATGTAAATTAGAGAAGCTATAAATGAAAAGCCAACATTAGAAATTCTTCAATAAGAAAATGAAGAGCAACAAAACACGAAAAGTTCAGTTCCTCTGAACTTACCCATTAAAGGAAACACGTTATTAGTTCGCCAAAGTACAAAAGCCGAAAAACAAAATCCAAACCCAAAAAAAAAAAAGAATACCTAACCCAGAGAAACATTACCTATGAGCAAAATATCCTCTGTTTGAGAATCCTGTGTTGAAATTCTTACATGAATGAAGCAAACGAATTGGTGATGAAGCTAACAAGTCCAAATATTCTCTGGATTGTTCACACTGACTTCCTAAGCAACAATACAAACTACAGTTAGCTTCCGTACTATCTGCAAATTTATAAATTACAGTAAGATGCACAACCTGAGCGAATTTGCGGTAAAATTCTTAAAATTTTCCTCAAATGACGAAATCTAATAGACATTTCTACGGATTTTTTGAGATTTTGGTGCCCGGGGTGGGATCAGAAAGAGTATTTTGCAAACGGGTATCAACCAGAGAAGTCATCGGCGGGAAATCATCTCCAGGTAGGGTTTAAGCCGTCCGGTTAAGAATCAATTTGGGTTTTAGAGACCCGGGGATTCGGGTCAAATTTTGGGCGGGTCGACAGGCCCAATAAGCACAATAGCAGCCCAACTCCTATAACCCGCTCCAGAATGGAGTTGAGGATGAGCCCATGCATCGCCATATTACCGTATCTATTCTTTTTAATGATTAGGGAGATTTTTTACCTAATTATAATTTGATAATTCAAAACATATATTTAAAAAATCCAATAATTTAAAGAATAAGTGAACCTTAATTATATTTTTGTTGTTGTTTTCGAGTTAATTCCTTGTTAATTAGTAGTTAAAATAAGTATTCAAATCAGTTTGTTCTTATTGCACGTTAATCTTTGTTCATAAATTATCAAATATGGTTATATTTAATTTATAATATATATATATTTTTTTTTTGTACCATAGAGAAAGTTATAACATAATTACAACATATTTTATATAAATGCTTGCCTTTTAACTCTATTTTATATTTTAAGAGGGAACAAGATTAAGGCTAGAACTTAAACTGTATATTTGAATTTTAAATGTTGGATTAACATAATTATAAACTTCTTATATGGTGAGATTTTTATTGAGTACGTTCTCATATTATAGTGGGTTTTTAAGCTTTTCAACAATTAATTAAAAATTTTCTTTTAAATGATATGTGAATTAACTATCTTGTACACATTACTCATTGAATTAAATGGAAGTTAATCATAATTAATTAAGCTCCCAATAGATTATCTATGAATATGCAGTGAGTATTGAGTACGTATACCCATGATTCAAAAATAATTGTATTTTATTTCTCGTGGAAAAGCCAAGTCAAGAAAGTGAGAAGATACTGATTATAATTAGCATAGTATAATCTTTATATAATTATTAATTTGACTAGTCCACTAATTTGTTTACAGTGAAGTCCAGGGAAGAAGAGGAAGAAGAAGAAGATGGTGATGATAAAGCAAATGATTGGGAATAGCATATGATTCAACAACAGTAATAATGATCAAATCATGGTTCCTGTTTTGGCATCTTAACTTTCTTGAATAATGTGTTTGAGAAGACAAAAGCAAAGTCCAAAACACATTCAAATAATTTTGCCACCCAAAACAAAAGAAGAAAGCTCCCTGACATCTCTGTCACTCTGCCTCTCTTTCAGATTCCCTTTTTCCCTCTGTCATCTCTGTTTTTTCTCTGCAAATCAATCCTACACACACAAATATATATGTGTGTGTGTATATATATATATATATTTATTTACATTTATCCCGATATATACTTTTCTTTTCTTTCTTCTTTTTGGATTCTACTCATTAATCTACTCTCTCCTGATTTTCTTCAACTAATCAAGTTAGAAATCAGATGTACAAATATATTTAGAAGGATGTTTATATCTACAGCATTTTATGGTCTTTTATGGCTATATATCTAAAGAATAATGTAAATCTATATATATATATATATATATGTCACAATTAGTGAGTGTAAATTACAAACATATATTTATATTAGATCCCACTTTGTCTCTCCAGAATTAGATTTTAGGGTTATCTTCAGCAGCAAAAAGGAGCTAAATATATAAATAAACAGAAAAGATTGAGTATAATGTATGCATGCACTCTCAATTCATTCATGCATACTTATATATATATATATATATATATATATAGTCTATGACTCTATATATAGAGTCTCTTAGTCTGTAACTCAGCCCCGCTAACGAAATTCAAAAAATTTGCATGATAATCACACACACACACATATATATATATCTTAATCTTCCATCATATATGTATATTTATCAAGTGAAGGAAAAGACGGGTACATAATCATCTAGTTATAAAAATAGAGTATATATATGTCTCTCTTGCTATACATTTATAGCCAAGTAATTATAAAAGGAAAAAAAAAAAAAAAAAAAGAGAAAAGGAAACAAAAAAAAAAAAGAAAAGAAAATTAATAATGCTAACAGTATTAATGACGAATGATAACAACAAAGGTAAAACAAACCTCTCAGTGAGGACAAAAGCAGTATTAATGGCGGAGTACAACAGTAACCGTAAAGATGACATAAAATAATTTCAACTTAATTCGGCATGTAGACCAACTATTTCATCATCTTCATCAACCTGTACCCAAGAGAGCTAGATGTTCATCCATTAATCATTCATGAAATTTACTTTATAATTACCTGTTGGAAATAGGGTTTGGGCCGCTAGGAACGTCATGAGCATCAGCTCCAAACTCTCTGTGAGAAGATCTTTGAGAAGAAGAGGCATTTGGCTGTTTATGTTCATAAGGGCGCAAGTTGGTTGTGGAAGGGGGTGATTTGGAGCTGGTAATTTGAAGGAGAAACCTTCTGCTGGAAATTGCAGCGGTCATGTTTGAAGCTGAAGAAGAAGGGAGGTTAATGGAGTGCATAGGGGTGTGGAGCAGAAGGAAAAGGAAGAAGATAAGAGGAATAAGAAGGAGAAGAGGGTTGTATTTGGTGTGATCAGGTGTTAGTGGCGATTTGGGTGCTGCCATGCAATCAAGAAAAAGAAAGATGAACCACCCCCCAAGAGTCCACAAGGGTTCAATATCCATGAACCAGTAAGCCAAACCCGATGAAGGAAATGGGAGAGACACACCCACCCACCCACTACAACCCACAGAGAGAAAGAATAGAAAAGAAAGAAAGTAGGAGAAGGGAGAAGGTTCAGCAAAAGTGAGTGGAAACCAGATATTGAAATTCCCTACACATTAATTTTTGCGGAGGAACCAAAGTAAAAGAACCGAGTTAACTTCACATATAACAAAGGACGACACAATATGGAGAAGAATAGGATGACGAATTTACTCAAACACCCTTGCTATTTGCAAACATTTTCAAACATATATTCCCAGCTCCCCATCTGTTTGTATGTGTATGTGTATGTGTGTGTGTGTATGTATATATATACATGTAGCTTCTGTATATATCTCCTAGAAAATCAAAGCATTTATTGGCCGCGTACAAACAAGTATATGAATATATAAGGGAAAAACATCATCTATTTGTACTTTTTTTTTCTCACAAGACATTATAAATTTAAGTTTGACTGAAATATTCTATTTAATTATATATTTTCGTGTATTTTTTTAAAAGATTATGTTTTGATTAATTGTTTCTAAATGTAAACAAAGAAATCCATTATGGTGTTTTCAGTCGAATGCTGCATATAGGTGTATGTAGAAGTGTACGTGTGTGTGTGTATATATATATATATATAGAAGAGAATATTGTGGAAAGGTAAAGGAATGGTCCGAGCACCAAATAGAAATAAAAAATTAGGGTAAGGAGGGGTGGCTTTTTCTTGCTTTGGTTGGAGAAGAAATCTTTGTTTGACTTGTTGAACCTTCAAGAATTTGAATCTTTAAAAAAATAAAAAGATGATTGCATAGATTTTGTTCTTAATATTGTGGATACCCATTTTTTCTTTTAATACTCAGAATTGCATGTGCCATGCCTCACTTTTAACTTTTGTGCAACCTCATTACTTCAAAAACTAGTTATATACATGTGTATATATAACTCATATACATCTACATACACACACACACCATACATGCATAAACGAAGTAGGGGTCAACACAAATAATTTGTTGAACTAAAGAATTTGGTAAAACGTAAAATTAAATTAAGCACAATAATTATCCATTCCTAATTATTGATTGAACCATAAAGTTAAACTTGTTAATTTTTATAGAAACGATGCACCAACATTTACAAGATTGATTGAACCCTTTTGAAGTTGACTCCCAAGCTACCTGCCCATGGAGAAATATTTTCATATCAAAATAAATAATTAAGATTACTACATAATCACTTCTTAATAATTTATTTAAAAATATAATTTTATTTGTACAAGTAACTCGTACATAAACACAACCAAAACCAACATAATTAACCAAACTAATCTTTCAAAAAAAATTGTAATTAATTTACCCATATTAAGAAAGAAAATTAAGACTAATCCAATAATATGAGGGAGAAGAAGTCAAAGCCTGGACATTGGAAAACTAATTAATCAATATGACTTTCTTGTTGGTGTTTGTCTATTTGTTTCAAGGTGACATAAACGATGAGACAGCTTCTGTGTGTAATCAAAATTCCATTAAAAATTAATTGCATCATTTATTAGACCAGCAATACGTTAGAGTCACAAAACCCTAGAACCAGTTCTCTTGTCATTTTTGTCAACCATATGAGCTAAGCAACCTTCTAATCCATGGAAAACATGTATCCACATGCATTACACACACATATAACATCTTCTGTATGTATGTATATATATATATATATATATACATATACATATACACACACACACACACACGTTGATTATCTTAAATATATTATGTAATTATTTATTAATAATGTATTTTTGGGTATGAATCTATTTCTTAAATAAATTACTATAAAAAATTCTAGCTATAAATTATGAATGTATAAAAACGTATTTATATTTATTATATAACTCTTACCTGCATACGATTGTGTATGTTAAATTATTAAAAATTTATATATGATTATTGTTAGAAGAAACAACTAGATAATTTAACACTGAAAACAATATATGACTATCTCATATATATATATATGTGTGTGTATATATGATACCACAACTGATACTGTATATAAAAACACTTAATAGCTTATAAGGATACGTATAGTAAATGGAGATATGTAGAAATAAATAAATTTGATTAGATGTATGGTTAATATATATATATATATATATGTATGTGTATACATCATGTCTCTCGTGCTTTTCTTTTCTTTCTTTTCATTTCCACCGTTAAATTGAAAATTCAATTCCAAAATTTTTAGGTGGGAGAGGAATTTCAAGAGGAACTATTACGAAGATAAGGAATCACTTTCTAACTATTGCTTTCGATGTTTTATATTTTTGCTTTTTATATAATATTCTTTTCCCACTTATACATACATATACATATATATATATATATATATATGTATATATGTATGTATCATGTCTCTCTTGATCTTGCTTGTCCATTTCCCTCGCCCAAATTTAAGGGCTTGACAAAAGGTATTTATTTATAATCAAATACAAGCTTTTTGTCCAAATTATTTGTTATAATAATAAAAAAAAAAAAAAAAAGTGAGCCTTGTAGTTTGTGTCCAAAAATAAAATAATATTTTTTAATAATTTCAAAAAGTGGGTTAATTATTAATGTAATTTTATTGACATACATATAGAAATATTCTTCTCCTATAATTTTAGGTAATTAATGTTGAATTGAAGTTTGATTCACTTGGGAACCATATATTTGATATATATATATACATGTGTATATAAATACTAATCATAAATTGTTATAAGGTAATTTGAGCTGTTGTATATATATATATGTTTTTATATAGTGGGTCAGCCAATAGTTTATATTCTTTTTTTAGCAAAACATTATTCAGTTTAAATATGGACATGTGTTTCATCTGGGAGACTTTTGGACAAAAAGCTTTCTCCAATGTTGCAAGAACATTTTGTGTTGCCTTAGATGATAAGAGAAAAAAGCCTACTCTTTCTACAATAATTCACTTCACAGGGGGAGTGTCGATGGCAAAACTTTGGAGTGCAAATAGCTCAAATTCTTCTTTTTGACTTTTGTTATTACGGATTGAATTTTGAAAAGCATGGAGATGGATTATTAGTTCATTAATAATGAAGATATATATTTAGCTTTAAAGTTTAAAGACAGATGCGATAGGGTAATGCTTTTGCAGCCGTCAACTTTAGAGATTATATATATATATATATATATATATATATATATTCCTTCTGATCAAAATAAGTAGCTAGCCAAAGAGAAGCATCAATAGCTGCATGTATATAGATTGAGTCAAAATTAGCGGAAAGCCCAAGGAACTAGACAAAATATACCAAAATTTGTTGCGTTAAGTAACCCTCATTCCTTATACAAATAATAATATACATATATATTTACATGTTACACCAGTATATAAGTATACAGGAGGGTTCTGAAATCGTTTACAGCTACTAATGTTGAAACACCCATAAAGTCATTTTAGTTGTTTCTAAGGAAAGAAGAAAGTATTGAAGAAATTAATATCGGAAGTTGGCAGATTTCATTACTGCTCCAATACGTACAGTGCATACGTTAAAAGTGCGAGCAAGATTGAGACTTCTGATCTTTACCCACCTTTACTTCATCAGTGACAGTACCTGAATGGAAGCGGTCGTGCACGGAAAAAAGTCATGAAAGCAGATCTGAATTTATCACCTTTACACACACATGCATACAGACACGTTTATATATATTTGTTATATATATATGTGTATGTGTAAGCGTCTCGGGTGAATTACTACTTGAGAGACTGTTATCAAGTTTCAGTTAATGTAGGTAAAGTAAGGTATCCACGACTCTATATATATAGATATCTCCAAATTTTCTATGTGCTGCTTGTAAACAGTACTAGTTAATGCTGTTTCACAAGTTTAATCATCAGTATAACGTATTTACTTCTGAAGAAGCTAATTCACTGATTGTATTGGATAAGAAAAGTAAGATATAATTCTATGATACTCATTTTTACGAGAAAGATGCAGGTTAAAAACCCATCCAATCCACCCCGGCCCCCCCCCTTCCCTCGACATGAGAGTGCACTGAGGATGTATATAATATATATAGATATAGATATGTACACACACACACCGAAAGTTTGAGGGGTAGTGGCAATTAAAAAGAAATTAATAATTTAAGACTCTGTTTCAGTTTATACGTACATATAAATATATCACAAAGAGGGGCCTGTTTACCTAGATGGCTGGCCTGACTGTTGTCCAGTTTTCCTGCATTAACTTTATAACCTGAGAAATAATCAGATTTAATAATCAAAAGAGTTGGATCAACCAGCACCAGGGAACAGTAACAAAAAGACACAAAGTTAAAAATTATATGAAATGATAATCGGTCTAAATACTATTCAAAATATGTTGAAATGCAAAAAAATAATAAATAATTAGTATTTTTGAAGGGAGGAAAAGGACATACAGACATAATGTGATTACATATACATACATCCAAGGGGAAAAACATAAAGCTAAGATCTCCTTTCTTTTCTCATATCTTTCTATCTTCAAGAAAATCACTACCACATCAAGTTTATCAAAATTAAATCGCAGACAGTTCCATGTAAGGTTTCTTTCACAGGAAAATTCATTAAAAAATATATATATGTAGAAAATGGGCAAGAACGACAACTGTGGTCCAACAATAATAATATCTGATATACACCTTGATAATTTAAAAAAAATGGCGATACTTACTGTACAACTGTATGTGGTGAAGAAATACCAGCCCCGAACATTGTAGTCAGAGCTTTCATTTCTCTCTGCTTTAGATAGTGATGCTTCATCAAACCTTTAAAACCCACCTTTCCCTGCAACCCTCGTTTGTGTTTTCCATTTTCTTCGTATCCCGTCCTTGACAAGAAATGGTAACAGACTCCGTACCGAGCTAAGATATTTATGGAGCGTCAAGTAAATTGCTTTAATAATTTAATTAGCGTGGTAGATTCAACTGCATAGAAATCTTACACGGTGCAAGGACTGAATATGCAGTCCTGATTTGAAAAGGGGGAAGGTTTAAAGTGGGAGACTAGCTTTATAAAAAGTTGGGGACAAGTCATGAATTGATTAATGTATTATAAGAAGTTTCTCAACAAAAGAGATTGTCATGTAAATATGGTAGGGCACAGATTATTTCCTAAAACTTACTTTTGCTTTTTGTGATTTCATATATAGTCTATGTCCGCCATTTGCTTTATAATATTATGTTCCTACATTTCTTTTGGGAACACGAAACAATAATTTACACAGTAGTAAATACATATAGTACAATCATTAACACAGAATAAAAAGTACTATATATGTCTTCAATTCTACCTTGCTGTGATATAACCAATACAAATCTGAACAAGCAAAGATACTTGAGGACATTTCCTTCAATATGCATGAGAAAATTTATATCCATCCATGTATTCTCCATTAGTCAAGGCACTCGTACATATGATTGTATATTTTGGAATTTTAAGTTTCATTTTTTGAATTTGTATTTGTATTTTTTTTGTTATAATTGAACTTAATATAGTCGTAAATAAATTCTACAAAAACAGTTCTACTTAGTTTAAACATACCCTAAATATTTTCTCAAGTTAGTACGAAAAGATAAAGAAAAAAAAAAAACAAAGTAAAAGATTATGGGAGAGCGAAGAAATTTTTGATCCAATAAACAATGAAATGATACATTCAATTCAAGCACACAACTAACAACTACTCTCCTGTTTTCGTGCTAGTTGAAGTAGGATTAACTGCTGCTGCTGCATATCCTGGTACCACTTAAGACATACCCACCAAAAGAACTCATCTGCATGTGTGGATGGGTCCTTGAAGGAAGAACCTACATGATCCAGAATTCAACTGTAGTTATTACCACCAACTGAACAATGTTATCAACATAGAGTAAATGGATATTAGTTCGACACCGTAAAAAATATCAAAAGGAGGAAAAAAGTACCTGATATTCACGTAACCAAGGTTCTGAAATTTGCAAACCAATTGCCATTTTCTCAATCTGCAGGTTGTGCATGCATGTAGCAAGAGGCTGCAGCATCCAAACAGGAAAAATGGCCCTAATTTAATCATATAGGTAAAAAGCTTGTAAAGCATTTACCTACCCTATTCAGGAGTACGAAATAGACCCCCCTTTCCCCTTCACAAAACAAAAAATCCAGTAAAGAATTAGAAAGCAAACAACCTGCAGATATTGATGATAGATTGCAAAAGGTGCAGAATATGATAGAAGCGGCAGAAGATCTTTAACTATAGTCCAGGCATCTTGCTCTGGGGCAGCAATTATTAAGCTGCACAATAATATTTTTTAAAAGTAAGCATCAATACTAGGTAAAACACATGCTTTATAAAGAAAGTAATTAGTAAACAACTGAAGGTACCTAGAGAAACCATTTTCTCTCCACAATTTAATTGCTTCACTTGATGCATTGCCTCCTGGTTTTGGTGCCTTACAAAGCTTACTTCCAGGAAAAGTGTCACTAGGAGTAGAATCCAATATTGCCTCCTCAGATGATACAGAAATGTCTTCTCCGCCAACAGCTGAAGACATATCCTGCACATGGTAGGCATTATAATAAATTAACAAATTCCAAAAAAGGAACATCTATCCACAAAGACAAACTTACTTTCACTTACCTTCAACTGATTTTCTGCATTAGGGACACCTTCATGCTCGTTAGTTTTCACAATGGTAATGTCCTCTGCTAAAGAGAGGTCACGTACAGAAGTCCGCACAATCCTAGAACGAAGCAAGTGATATAACAGATCAAGAAGAAAATGTGCAAATGGGACGAAAATAGAAAAATAGCTCTATCTTCACAGGACCTAAGGACAAGTGCAATCATGCATGAATGACAAAAATTTTTAGGAGATAATTGCAGACAATTCACTATTACCCATACTTGTCTAATCCTACACATTATGATTCACCAACCACTAAGAAGAGAAAGCCTTCTTAAGCCCTGACTCTCAACCATCCACTACATTCAAAGAGCGCATCTGGCAAAGCAGATGCACATATAGAGCAACACTGGTAGGACACTCACAACATGGTTCAACATCAACTTTGAGTAGGTAAGGCACGCCTTAAACCACCATGTCCGGTAGTGAAAATAATTTTAACAAAAAGAATTAAGATAAATCCAAAAAAAAAAAAGAAAAAACTCAAACACAGATGTACCTCTTGGAAATCTCATTGCTAAAGTTGAATATCCTCACTATATCCATAGGAGATGGGGTGCTTCCAACAAATGTGCTGCACACGCATCCCACACCTGTTGATCCAAGTATCCCCTTCAGCAACCAGAGAGAAGAATTTCTCATGCTTAACATGACATTGACACAGTAAAACAACTAATGTGGAAAGCCAAAATAGCTCAAAAAGGAAAACTGTACTAGAATAAGTAAAACTGTTGTTTTTATGTTAGTTGAAAAATACTGGCACTTATCCTGTTTACACTCACATCCCCGGATCACAGGCTTCCCTCCATTGTGATAGATTTAGCAGCACTTTTTTTTTTTGTTTCATCAATTTGAAATCCATTCGACTTTGCAGAATGGTAAGGCCAATGGCTTATAGGGAAAAGAACATTACACACCTCCTAAACGTTCTGCCACAGCACCAGTAAG